AGGTCACGACCTCTGAGCAGGCCCACCAGTGGCTGAGGAAGCCTCCAGGGACGTATGCAGGTACCGGGAAAGCCAGATGTGAAAAGGATGGTGGCCCCAGCAGGGTGGTAACGGACCGTGGTCCCGTGGGGGTAAGCGGGGTACCGAATCGACGGGCAAAGAGTAATCAGGTCACACGCAGGATCAGCAGGGTAAGTCAGTCCGTAGAATGGTCAGGCAAGCCGGGGGTCAGAATAGGAGAAGGCAGAGTAGTCAGAGCAATCCGGGTCAATCACAGGAGAAGGCAGCGTAGTCAGGGCAATCCGGGTCAATCACAGGAGAAGGAAGCGTAGTCAGGGTCAATCAGGGTCACTAGAACGGATACAGGAACTCAGGATCACAGATAGACCTTGCGGCAATCTGTGACAGTGCAGGGCATCTTTAAATAGTGCGCCCTGCACTGTCATTGGCCGGCCAGGACGCGCCCCCGGCTGTCATTGGACGTCTGAGGCGCGCCCGCGACTCCTACTGCGCATGCGCGGCGTCCTGTCAGCCGCGGCTCGCCGGGACCTAGTGCCTGTGTCCCGGCGTGATCTGCCGCCAGTGCGCATGCGCGGAGGGAGAAGCCGCGATCCCTGACCCTGGAGCCGCGATCCCTGACAGTAGTAGAGTAATAGAAATCCAACAGACCCAACAGTCATGACATGCATGCTGCTGATTCTGTGTAATTGAATCACTAATTGAAAGGGCATGTTCAAAATAATAGCAGTGTGGAGTTCTATTAGTGAGGTCATTCATTCTTTGAAAAACAGGTGGCAATTATTGCCCTTATTTAAGGAAGGAAGGCAGAAAATGTTGTACATTCTGGTTACAGTGCATTTCTCTCTGAAATTCTGAGGAAAATGGGTCGTTCCAGACATTGTTCAGAAGAACAGCGTACCTTGATTAAAAAGTTGATTGGAGAGGGGGACGCATATAAAGAAGTGCAGAAAATGATAGGCTGCTCAGCTAAAATGATCGCAAATGCTTTAAAATGGCAACCAAAACCTGAAAGACATGGAAGAAAGCGAAAAACTACCATTCAAATGGATAGAAGAATAGCCAAAATGGCGTGGACTCAGCCAACAATCAGCTCCAGGAAGATCAAAGAAGGTCTAAAGTTACCTGTGAGTACTGTTACAATTAGAAGACGCCTATGTGAAGCCAAGCTATCTGCAAGAAGCCCCCGCAAAGTCCCACTGTTGAAAAAAAGACATGTGCTGAAGAGGTTACAATTTGCCAAAGAGCACATTGACTGGCCTAAAGAGAAATGGCGCAACATTTTGTGGACTGATGAAAGTAAGATTGTTCTTTTTGGGTCTAGTGGCCGGAGACAGTTTGTCAAACGACCCCCAAACACTGAATTCAAGCCACAGTACACTGTGAAGACAGTGAAGCATGGTTGCACAAGCATCATGATATGGGGATGTTTCTCATATTATGGTGTTGGGCCTATTTATTGCATACCAGGGATCATGGATCAGTTTGAATACATCAGAATACTTGAAGAGGTCATGCTGCCTTATGCTGAAGAGGAAATGCCCTTGAAATGGGTGTTCCAACAAGACAACGACCCCGAACACACCAGTAAACGTGCAACATCTTGGTTCCAGACCAACAAAATTGACGTTATGGAGCGGCCAGCCCAATCCCTGGATTTTTAATGCAATAGAAAACTTGTGGGGTGACATCAAAAATGCAGTTTGTGAGGCAAAACCAAGAAATAGAGAAGAACTGTGGAATGTAGTCCAATCATCCTGGGCTGGAATACCTGTTCACAGGTGCCAGAAGTTGGTTGACTCCATGCAACACAGATGTACAGCAGTTCACAGAAACAGTGCTTATACAACTAAATATTAATTAAGTGATTCAAAGGAAAGCAAAATCTTCAAACATTTTTCAGTTTATATAGTGAATGTTTGAGTTTGTAAAGAAGAATACAAACACTGATATTTTTTTGAACAGTCTAATATTCACTTTTCTTCAATTTGTTTTAGAGGAACAACACAAATTTGATATATTTTTCTTCATGTTTTGATTTTGAATAGAATGTGTAGTGTTCCCAATGCATTTTGTGTGTATGGAAATAAAAGCTATTAGAAGGATTTTGAGCTTTATTAACTTTTTTCACCACACTGCTATTATTTTGAACACAACTGTATATGTGCTATCCCTAAGGCTTTACATATAGACTGAGGCAATGTAGAAGCACCACTCAACAACCCTCACAGTAACAATTCTTTGCCACGAAGCACTCCATAAGACGTAATAGGACAGGATGCATGTAGAACTTTTTCAGGGGAGATCCAGCCTGTTGGTTGCCTGTAAATGGGCTTGTAACTTTGGGCCCTTTAATGTAGGTTAGGTGGAGTAGGAGCAAGGGAGTTTGGCCATGGAGTGAGAAGAAGATTCTCCGCTAAAAACGTAACTAATTTTTTTTTTTAAGGCAATAAAAAACCTACACAAATGTTTTGCTTTTCATTTCTATTTTAAACTACATGGGTTGTTTTACAAGGAGAGGTTTTACATATATTTTAGGCATACTCTTCACCCTGCAGGCATATCTCAACCCTTTATCCAGTCGTAGGTGTGAGCTGAGGGTCAGAAGAAGACTGAATGGCTGCATGATCTTTTTGTAAAATGACATAAAAATTCATGCTCATTTAAGCTGAGGGCATTGAAATTCCATGCTAGACAGTCAATTTTTGCCTTGGAGACAGTTGGCCAGGAGTGTCGTTTTGATAGCTAGTGGTTTCATATTCCCCCTATGCAAAAAAAAAAAAAATTGGGGGGGATTTTTTTTTTAACAGTAAGAGTTTTCAAGTTTTATTACATCATAGCATCAATAGTTGTACCACAGTCCAATTACCGTACATGAGTAAAAAGTCAATAGAGATGTACAAACCTCACAGATTTCACAATTCAATTACAAAAATCAAGATATATAAAAATGAGCTTACCATTACAAATCATGAGTTTTCAAGGCACATGAGGAAAGGGGGGGGGGGGATCAAGCAGAATCTAACCATGCAGAGCAGAACCATAATTAGCTGGGCGGCTTCTACTCATATAAGTCAACTGATACAAGAGGAGTACAGATCTAATAGGTAAGCATAAATCCTTATAGGAGGATGGGGGAAAGTTTTTGTTTAAGGAGAATTTCCCTTCCGGGGTACTAGGATGTGTAGAACAGCAGAAATTTTGCATGTTTTGAAATAGAAAAGGAGTCATAGATACCTATAAGCAACACAATAGGATCCGGTGTCATAGATAGTTTCAGGACCTTAAGAGTCTTTATGGAATTTTTACTTTGTAATGTAACAACTTTTTAAAAAATTGTAATTTACAAAACAATTTATGAAGCATGGCCTCCATTAGACAGAGAACAGTTTGGTGCCTTAAGAGTAAAAATAATAATAATAATGCAGTAATGACACTGTAAATTTATAGCGCACATTACTTTTATTCTGGCACTCTAAAGACCTGAAATGATTTTTTTAGGGCTACGTTCGTACATTTGTTTTGACAGTGATCAGAATATTATCCATACAGAAGAGTAAAGAAGTGCTTCACATCAGCATCGACAGTTCAAAAGGCAGAATGTCCATTGTACAGGTGATTTCCCTGGAGCTTCTGCACTTCTCACAAAAGAGATTTGAAAAAATGCAGCAGCGCCTTTGGGGACATTTGATGATAGTTCCACCTGAAACCATACACCTGCTGTTAAGGCCCTTACATGACATATTATTCCAAATATGAGAGGATGAACTTTCTTACAGCAACAGAAGTTATCTATTAACATTCTTCTAAAAGTAAACATAACACACGCATAAGGGTGGTGATGACAGGTTACAGCAAAACACCATCCAAAAAATTTTCTGTGACCTTGGTGGGGTAATCTCCAACTGCGACACAATAATCTTGTGATCACTAGCTTTGTGGGTGTATATGGTGAATGTACTCCATAAAGGACAACCAGTAACTTTAGCTATCGCATCAGTGGGTAGGTGGAGATCTCAATGCTACAGACCCCAGTAAACACAGTAGGATATACAACCCTGTCTCAATCTATGAAAAAGATTGTTTTACAATGAATTCTCCTTAAAAAACAAGCAAACCATTCTTCTGTTTAAGCTTAAGGCCCAATTCTAAGTTGTTTTTTTTTCCAAAATAAAGTTTTATTGAATATATAAGATACAAGGAATACAGAGAATGGGGGGTAGCGGATATAACAATCGGGAGAACAAAAAGCAAAACAACCCCGATAACAATCAAATGTAGTCATTTCCACAGTTAACATCAAGTAAATACAAGAATAGCACCATGTGTTAAATGGCAATTCAGTATCCAACATTCAGGACGGCAAACTTTTCCTTTCTCTTCCCTTCTGAGTTTGTTTTTGTTGTAAACCTTGGTTGTAAACCGTTACATATAACCAGTGAAGTGACTGGCCTTAGATGATACACAAAGATGAAATAGATCATCCTACATGCTTTGGATTGAGACAAGTACACACTATTGAAGGATATGCTTTGTTCACATTTCATGATTTCGGTTTACAACCACTTTAACCACCTTCCGCCCGCCCTATAGTACAATGACGGGTGTAAGGTGGTTCTCTCATTCTGATAGGATGTCATATGACGTCCTACCATTCTCCCTGCGCATGCGCGGCTCAGGGAACGCACGGCGCGGCGATCGCCGGTGCGCTGTGTCCCTCGGACACAGCGGATCACGGAAAGAGCCGAAGATGTCGGCTCGGTCATGTAATCAGCTGTGTCCAATCACAGCTGATCACATGTAAACACATAAATGCCGGTTATTGGCATTTCTCTCCTCTCGAGCTGTCACGCTGACAGCTCGAGAGGAGAGGAGAGCTGGTAATCGGCTTTCCGCGGAGGGGACATGTACACTGATCATCAGGGCATTGATGATCAGTGTGCCCTGATGATCAGTGTGGCCCCAGAACTGCCACCTGTCAGTGCTCATCAGTGCCACATGCCAGTGCCCATCAGTGCCACATGCCGGTGCCCATCAGTGCCACATCAATGCCACATATCAGTGCATACCAGTGCACATCAATGCCACATATCAGTGCCCATCTGAGCTGCCTTTCAATGTCACCCATCAGTGCCAGTCAGTGCCTCCTATCAATGCCAATCAGTGCCACCTATCAGTGCCAGTCAGTGCCGCCTAACAGTGCCAGTCAGTGCCACCTATCAGTGCCAGTCAGTGCCGCCTACCAGTGCCATATATCAGTGTCATGTATCAGTGCTGCCTTTCAGTGCCCATCAGTGATGCCTGTCAATGCCCATCAGTGCAACCTACCAGTGCCTCCTCATCAGTGCCCATCAGTGCCACCTATCAGTGTCCATCAGTGCAGCCTATCAGTGCCCATCACTGCAGCCTCATTAGCGCACATCAGTGAAGGAGAAAAATCACTTATTTACAAAATTGTATAACAAAAACTAAGAAAAAACTTTTTTAAAAAAGATTTTCAGTGGTTTTTGGTTTGTTTAAGAAAAAATAAAAACCCCAGATGTGATTAAATACCACCAAAAGAAAGCTCTATCTGTCTCATAAAAATGATAAAAATTTCATATGGGTACAGTGTTGCATGACTGCGCAATTGTCATTCAAAGTGTGACAGCACTGAAAGCTGGAAATTGGCCTGGACAGGAAGGGAGTATAAGTGCCCTGTAGGCTAGTGGTTAAGGTAACTCAATGATTTAAAAAATGTCAGTTCTTGATGCAATGTGCATCTCCTATCTGATGCTGTCCCCCACAGGCTCACCATACTGCCAGTGCTGGTCCTTTTCTAAGGTGAATGATAACGGAGTCATTCAGCCAACTCCTGTGAGTGTAGGGCATCATGGGCTTGCCTGGGGGTCGTGGAGGTGTGTTACCACCCTGTATTCTCAGATGCGTCATCAAGTCAGGGATACTCACTGTATCATTAAGGACCATCCATTGCTGAAGAAAAAATACGCTGGGGAAGGTCCAGGTTGGGAAGATGGAGGATAGGGTCTGGGTGTGTGCAGAGGGATTATCTGGAATTGGTTTTAAAGCTATGAAATAATTTTATGATATTGCCAATCCTGAATAAGACTTTTTTTACAGAGATAAGAAAAAATTGACAATGAAAACTGAATAATAAGTGGTTGATTGATCGATACGTAATCCTGGAAATGAACAGATCAATTTTTTTAAAGAGAATTTTCAGTTGTATTTAGCAGTGTTCCCTCACTTGTATTCACTGGAGTTTCTATGCAATCCATTGTATTTTCCTGATTATATTCGAAATTACAATCTCCTTCAATAACTTTTCATTCCTTTCATTTTTATTTAAATAAACTGTTCACTTATACCACATATGCTTCAATGCTATCAAAACTGTTTGAAAACCTGCTCAATTCTTTTAAGGTTCAGCCTCAAAAAATTGATTGACCATGGTTGAAAAATGCCCTTACAGTTCAATTTTCCTTTACTACAACTACAGCCTCTAAATATTTGGATTACTGAGAAGATTAACCAGATAGACTGCTCATTATAATTGGTAGATGGTATGGGACTGAGATGACCTTGTCCTGATTACTGACCCGCCTTGACTTTTCTCCAATAGTATCATGTTGTAGAGCTACAATAACTCCTATTCCATGGTGAAAAGAGATTCTGAGCCAATGCAGAGATCTGGCCACCAAGAGTGTGCTGGTGTGATGGAATGCCAGGAAAACACGTTTATATTTAAGTTAAGCAACTGATTACTACAAGAAACACGAATGGTTTATCAACCATTGTCCACAGACAACCATGCTCAGCCCACCATAATGCATGCATATTATTATTGTATATCGCTACCCTTCTCTGACCTCCAGAGGTGCATCATGATTACATGCCTGCTGACAAAATGTAGGCATTTCCAGAATTCCACTGTAGCTCTGGAAGTGGCTCAGAACTTCAAAGGTGAGTTTATACTATATGATGATTACAGGTGACAGCACTGGCTGAAATATGACAGTCACGTCACTAGAAACAGTGAGCAGTACAGCAAGCTCTACCAGGATATGGCAATGTAAGGTAGGATTAGGAAAGCTTAGTGAGGGCATTTTGTGGATTTACTGGTGATGTAAGTTGCAAAACAAAACCTTTTTAACATATTCCTCAAGTACAAAGCAAGAATTAGTTCAGCCATTTATTTTCACCCAACATGGAGTGGCCCTTTAAAATGTATCTCTAGCCAAAGTTTTTTTTTTTTTTTTTGTTTTTTTAAGAAATAGAACTAAAGGCAAACTTTTTTTCATTTTTGATAGCGTAAGTGTGGTTATGACCCCTGCCAATCTTTTTTCGACCTTTGCGTCCTATTGTGGATATTGTTTTTCACTTCCTGTTCCATGACCAAAATAGGAAGTTAGAAGAAATTCCACCAAAGTGAGAGAATCCCTAGCTGTTACCAGGGTAACCAGAACTGGTGTCCCCATTGGAAGATTTCCCTCTATTCCTGTTCTGGGAACAACCCAAAATTAGGGATTTTCTTCTACTTTCGGAGATAACTGTAAACAGGAGAACTAGGGAGGGTAAATCTCCCTATTGGGGGCACAGACTACAATAGCATATTGATAGTTGTTCTAATCCCTCTCCACCCTATCCAAAACTAAAAAAAAAAATTTAGCCTTTAGCTATACTTTAAATATTGAATAAAGTGGAGAAAGGTTAGAACTCTCGTCAGATTCTTACTGTGGTCTGCTTCCTTACTGGGGAGATTCTTTTTTCTGTTTGTCACTGGTACAGAAACTGATGGGAAATCCAATATGCTACATTTGTTAGCAGAACAGGAGGTCAGTGAAATTTTTCAATGGGGACATCTGCCCCAGTGATATTTGTCCAAGAAGGAATTTGACCTCATCTTGGAGAGATTTTCTCTTATTTCCTGTTGTTTCCCCAAGAAACAAACAGCAGAAAAAACATGAAAGGTAGTTTTAACGCTGAACTGAAAGAAAAAAATACCCTTTCTGTAGTGCTTTACCTGCACTGCAAGGATTAAATGCTCAATTTTGTCTAGGAATATTAAAGAGCACTTTATTTATTTATTTCAGGTACCTATATAGCACCGTCAATTTATGCAGCGCTTTAGTTACATATTATACATTCACATCAGTCCCTAACCCTCAAGGGGTGTACAATCTAAGGTCCCTGGCTTTACATTCATACATACTAGGGACAATTTAGACAGGATCCAATTCACCTACCAGCATGTCTTTGGAAGGTGGGAGGAAACCCACGCACGCACAGGGAGAACATGCAAACTCCAGGCAGGAGGTGCCGTGGCTGGGATACGAACCAACGACCCTAGTACTACCGGGTGGAAGTGCTAACCATTTAGCCACTGTGCTGCCCACTTTTACATACCTTATCCGTTGCTCCTCCAGCAGCCAGTGCTCTCATTGTTCCTCCAGTGCTGGGTTGTTGATGGGCCCTATGCACTCTCACGTACACAAGACGCCTGCAGGAGTGACGTATAAGGTATTCAGCTTTACCCATTTCCCATTGTGTCCACTACTAAGAAAAAATTAAATACACTTTAAAGTGTAAGTACTTTCTTATTTTCCCAACAGCCCATTAAACATAACAGTTCCACCTATAACAGGCTGGCTTGCACAAGGTCAGGTAGTCCATAATAGGTTGCCTCCAGCCTTTTCTCCTCTGTACACCAGTCCTCATACTCGGAAATGTGCACTGCACATCCACAGGTAGGAATGGTGCCTGTAATGTAAATTGCAGCTTTAGTTAATAGACCAAGCACTCTTTATGGACATAGAGTAAATCACCATGCTGTTTGTGATATGGAGACTGGAGCACAGTGGAGAAAAAGCTCTGATAGTGCAGTTAGGTCTCAGGAAAGCCGTGTGATGGAGGATAATTATATTTAATAGTGATACAGAGGGCCTGAGGGTGATGGTAAGATGACTGTTTAAAGTTCACTGACAGGCTATTTAAAGTTGTTGTAAACCTCTGAAATGAAAAATGAAGAAAGCATACTCTTCTATAGTGTGTAGTTCCTTCAATCCAAAGCACCTAGTGTTATTTCTGACTGCTGACTCCTTCCTCTGCTATCTGCATGAGTCACTTCTGATGGTTTATGCGACACCAAGGCGCCCCTCCCTCCAGCACACAGCAGGCGGTTGACAGCCTCAGCCGTGCATGTTTCCCTATGAGACTGTGTAGAGGGGGATTCCCTCCACTCAGGTCTCCTAATATGCTCCCTGCTCTATGCTGTTCAGTGTGTGAGGTCAGATCCCTGCCCCATGCCTGAGTTCAGAAAAGCTGTGTAAAATGTGTGCTTTAGGGGGCTGTAGAAGGGAATACTGCAAGTAAACAGGTACAACTTATGTTAGAGGATTTGTCTCATCTCTGTGTATCACCTGAGGCCAGTCACTTCACTGGGTATATGTGAGAGTTTACAACCACTTTCACATTCACTTACTGTGCTAGTTCAGTATAAATAGTCAAATATGTTACAACCTACAAGAATATAATCTGTTTACTTTAAAATATGTCAATCTGTGGTATAAATATTGATAAACAAAAAAACTCTAGGTACTTGATGTCTCGCATATTTTGTGTGAGACGATAGGATAATAATATCTTTTTTACACTAAAGATCTGTAGATTAACACATAAAGCAGAGAAGTGAGAGGAGAGGAGACGTATATCAGTGCCATATGGTTCCTCTATATGTATCATTAAAAATGAACACATGCAACATTCTTTCTAACATGTTGCAGTCAGATTCAATGGGATAAGCTGCATGATTGCTTAATGGTGGTGCCTACACGTATTATGGATAATTTACTTCATTATTGTTGTTTATGAGAGGCAGATAATGTAGCCTATTCTTTGAAACTTTGAAAGCCCAACTGGGGCTTGGTGGCCCAACTGTGCCTTGCACAACTAGGGTTGTCAGGCTAAATCCTGGCCAAGACAATATCTGCATGGAGTTTGCATGTTTATTTTAGCAGGTCTCCTAGTGCACCACACGCTGGCCTAGGCACATTCTTCTGTAACCTCATGAAACATGAGAGGATTGGGTTTTGTTGACCCTTTTTGCTACAGGGAGGGCTCCACTATCTTGGTTCTATGCATACTCTCCAGGCCCAAGTGTAAGGGGGTGTTAGTACAACTCCCAGTCTGGCCACAAGGTGACGCCTTCCTCTAATTAAAATATACATATTTAGGATATATATACGGTATATATATATATATATATATATATATATATATTTTTTTTTTTTTTTTTTTTTTTTATATATATATATGATACGCA